TCAGGGCAATAAAAGCCGGGGCCAACGCGAGGGTTCTCAACTGCATGGCGATGTACGTTCGTAGGGTCAACTGAGGCTACTTGTGCGGATGGAAAGAACCTACAGAGCAAGACCCCTCGGTGTTCTTCCTTTGCCAGCGATGTCCTTTTTATATCAATAACCGGAGTCTCTTAGTCGCGGAATCGAGTGAGGAGGATTTAACCCGTGGTACTGGTAAATTGCGTTAAGTACCATGGCATTTGGTTTCAGCTCCCTCGTCCAGGACATCGGCCGTATACAATTATCACAAGCAGGAAATCATCGTACCTCGCCCAATGATCTGCTTCTGGCATCCCAGTTCTTGCGGATCATAAGGCGATGGTGGACCTGATCTCATCTTGTTGGCCCAGAAGGCAGGGAGAAAGACACCTTGCATGAACTGTCCAGGCCACTAGACAAGGGTCAGACAAGGTCTGCGTGGAGTTGGTGCATGGGGGCAGAATGTAACGTGAGTGTCGAGAGTGCGAGGCGAACGAGGCTCAACTTATAACAATGTAGGAGTGATGTGGCTCTTATGGTTACAGCATGTATTGCATTTGCTGATTCCTCGATGCGATTCGCTGAACATGGCTTTCGGGTTACTTGGGTGATACCTTGCTTTGCAACAGTGGCATAGCCTGAACCCTTTCAGCGATGTCAACAACAAATGGTGCATAGATACACAGAGACAGGAGGGCCACTTCAAAGAGGAGTCGCGAGTCATTGCAACATTGACTGTCGACTGGTTCAAGACTATGAAGCATCATCCAAAAGGAACGACGGAGTTCCCATCACCCAGCTTCGGCAATGCCCGTGGGGTCCAGTCCAGGATATTGAGCTTCCTAGGCTGGTCGACTGGATCAAGGATCGATTTCCCTGCGCACAGTATAGATGCGCCTAAGACAAGAATGCCAGGGATCATATCCAACATGTTACTGAAGGCGCAAGCAAAGACTTTCTCGATCTGTGTTGTATGAGCTCGTGTGGTTTACAGAGAACTTACAGTAGATGCATGCACCTTGACACGGTAATCCCGTTCTTGGTTGATCCCTGTATCCACGTGGGAATGGATACACACGCATGTCGGCTTGCGGCACGTAAGTATGTCAACAGGTACCTACTGTAAAAGGCCAGTACCAGCACTCTTCTACACGGGCTATTTGAGGTCGCAGTTTTGAAGATGGGCGCTTATAATTACAAATATGAAATGTACCCTTGGTATACGTATCATAGTTCTTCCAAAGCCAAAAGCTGTCAATATACTTGAAAGCCGTTCGAAAAGTCAGGAGTTCAATCGCTTGCGGAAAGGGAGATGCGAATGAACTTAGTAAGGGGTTGAAAACAGCGGCTATGTAATTAATGTACATTGTCATTGCCGAGATGCGGGAGGTGGCAATTGACAGGTTGGCAAGGTGGGACAAAGCACGAATCTCGCTCCTCAACCAATACCGGCTCTGTGATTTTCAGGACTGAAGGTCGTATTGCGGTCTCCGGAAAAGGGTCAGAATTTGTTGTTGGTTGTTGGTGTCAACTGCATATGGTGAGCGGGTAGGTACCTATCCTATCCCTTGTAGGACCTTGGACGGCCCGAGGCAAGGCAGGTGATCTGAGTTATGAGCGCATCTCTGATTAAACCAGCGTTAGCTCTAGCGTTAGCTTCACGAAGAAGTTGTTAGAGCATTTTGGTTGAAGTAGAGGCAGATTTGGTCCCATTCTCCTCGCTAGTATGGTCAATTAACCCCTCGTAGATGAGATCTAAGTATGTGCCTCGTGTGCCTTGTCTTGTTCTTGCAGGCAACAGTTTCGCAATATTGACGTATCTGGTTAGACACTAGATCTAAGCCCTGCCGGTCATGCAAGGGCCTCCATGACCCCGCCATGAAAGGCAAGGCGGGGGATCTATACTCGAGGAGCAGTTGAGAAAGGGAGAATGGGTACGACTGATTCAACAACACGAGCGTCATATATGATACAGATATTACGAAAGCGAATAAGTCCATTACTTGGTTATGAGGCAAGGGACATTATGTTGCCAATCGCAGTCTTTGGCTAACTCTATTATTTTTAAACGAGGCATGTTCACGGTCCGCTCCGAGTAACATCAGGTGTTGTGCTATGCGACGTTTTCTTTCAATTCGGAAGAATTGTCTCATTTGGGTTTGAATTCGTTGCACTACGCAGCTTTCATCATATTGATCTGCGGTATTTCTGGTTTTATCCATTGCAAGTGAAGCCTTGCCAATTCGCCCCGACAACCGAAGCTGGTGATGCATAGACTGACTAGGGTTTGGTGCTCCCTAAGATGCTGTAAGCGCCGGTTGGTCAGTCGCGAAATGTTGAAACCAACATTAAGAATTCGACCGAAGATTCGGAGCCGTCGTTAATGAATGCTTCAACTTACACCTAGCTAAAAAGGCGGTTGTATCATTATGTCTTGCCTCAGAAGGCTAGATTGGGCGCTTAGCCCTTGACACTAACAGCCCTATCACCAACAATCACTAAATGGGTACATGGGTTATCTGCACATCAACCAACAACACACCACATCAGCCAACCAGAAGATGCAAAGATCCGGCATTCTACCTGAATTCCTGATCCAATGTCGAACTCACGTATCCGCGCGCTCTGAGATAGTTGCACAGCCTGTTTAGTGCACTATGTGTCTAACTAACCCCAGCTGGTCGGGTAGGTAGGTATTTGCAATAGCGATCGATAGCTAGGCGGGAGTAACAATGGGTTGAATGACTCGCATCCCTAAACAAGGACTTCCTTATTTCTTATAATAAACTCAAAGGCGCCTCTGAAACAGGAGCATAGTTTTGCATCTAACAAAGCTCATACCAACACGACTGTCACGGACTGCATTTCTGTGTCCCATCTTATTTTTTGCTGTTTTTACTTGTATTACTATTTGACGAAACTCCAGAAATGGCTGCCACAAAGCTTTCCTCGGCGCTGGCGCCGTTCAACAACACTATAACGTCATCTTCCATTCCTCTCTGGGCAAGAGACGCGATTGTAACCGCCATTCTGCAACTTGACACGCCGGCATGGCGAGAGACCCTGTCGGACTACTTGCCCACATTTTGCGAGACTGTTCCTCGGATACAGGAACTGTTCATGTTCAGTGATGTCCGGGCTCGCGAACGGATACTATCAGAAGTGTATAAAGGGGCGTCCCGGGTAAGCTTGTTCTTTTTTCTTGGTTGGGCAGAGTCATTCGCAGTTTGCACACTAACACTAGGCTTGGAATAGTTTCACGAAGCACTAAGATACCTGAACATTCGGGTCCCCTGCAATTATACGCAACTCAATGAATCAGACACCGTCACGATCAGGACCGGTTACATTCTTTGCTTTGTTTTCAGACTCATAGAACTCATTTATCATTACGGAAATGGCCAGCCGCCCCCGACCGAGCACTGGGACATTGCGCACATGGCGAAAAAGTTTGAGCAGACGATATTTGGGGGCCCGGTGAGCTTGATCTTTATGCAATCGGTATGTGGTGCCTGGGAAGCAAAACAAGACTGTCTTCCATGCGAGCCCTAAGTCCTCGAATCAATTGAAACCGTTTCCAACTTCTAACGATTCGCGCCGTGGTACAGGAACTGCATATAGCTACAGAGTATCTGAGCGAGATCACCGAAAAGCCTACGTATGCTCCGCTGACGGGTGAGATAATCGCCGCTCTAAACCATCCCGACAATCCAGAGGAAGGTCAGTCTACGAAACGAAATATTCAATGTGCAGAGGGACGGGAGGCTGACGAATAGTTATCTAGGCGCTGAAGCATGTAGTTCGGAATTTGTCTGCGGGTTCCTCGGCCGACATCAACTGAGGCCAATTGATGCCATTATCTCAGAGCAGTTTGACAGAGATGTCGAGGCTCAAGTCGCGTGGGAGATCATGTTTGAGGGCTACACGCATAGGAAACGGCGTGGTTTCATGAGTGGCATAGTGATGAGAGTTTTTCAATGAGGGTGTGCTGCGGTAGCAAGGCGATGGCGATGAAATGTAGGACGTAGTAGTGGCTTGTAGAGTCCGAGCTGTATATACATATGCGCTTGCGTTAATTTATTCTAATTTATATGGAACTTGGCAATAGTAGTGAGATACTACAGACATTCAAGACTCTTATATCTATATAATGCCGCTCGTAATTATCCGGTAAAAACTATCAGTGATGTGGATGGGGACCTAAGTAGAACATGTACCGAAGCGGCGATAAAAAGGATTCGTTCTGGATCCTGGTCGATCCGGACCGGTTCGAGGAGAGCCTATGCGATGAGACGGTGACGGCTGCGGTAGATCGCGTCGACCCCTACTAAAGATACCCACATCCTACTTTCTTATCGGAAAGCTTTCTTGCATACGAAAACTTGCCCGGTCCAGGCCTCGTAGATACGCAAGACAGTTGGGTAAAGTGGATGAAGCTTGAAAATGACATTGGTGGAGTGTGCCAACTTCAATGCCCAAGTGGCTGATGTGACAATGAAGGAGGGTGGCGAAGAATAAGATCGTTCTTCGATGTTGTGGACGAAATCGATACAATTGAGGGCTACTACAGCCATGAAAATGGACACTAATGGGAACGGACTATAATGAAAATTGCAACACAAGCATGGTCTTTAAGGGCAAGCGAACGAGACTCAGAGAGGAGGCAATCCTCATCGACTCTCTATTCCAATAAACCATACTATCTAGGCGCTCAAGTTAGCTACTTACATATACCGGTTAGCTCCGCTCACTTTGCACATCCTCTAAGGTTCTGCAAGACTGCCTCAAGAACCCAAGGTCGTCTTAATTGTGTTTTCTTTCAAAGGTAAAGCAGGTAGTACTTTAGCTAGTGTCCATCCATGTATAACAATAGGCAAGGTTATCCATGATACAATCTAAAAATTATCCAAAGATCAGATACCCTACTTAATTCTATAGCTTGTAATCCCTAGCAATAGGGCAAAAAGATCATACAAAAATTGAAACCATGGTAGGATTCGAACCTATATCTCCCCACTACATTTTGTTTAATCAATATAGTTTAAGCGTGTTACCATTACACCACGTGGTTCTTCCTAGCCTTTCATATCATCTGGTATAAGCATGCAGGCATAGAGATTATATATCCTGCAATAGTTGGAGTAGATACATTCTAGTTTGCACCTTGTTCTGTCATTCAGCAATGGCTCAGCCGCTCAGGTACAGGGCGGGCGCTAATCTGGAGCCATGTTAGCGCAAGGCAATTGACCAACCAATCACTGAGGGCTTCGTATCCTGCTTTAGGCAATTCCTCCACGGGCAACCTTTCCTAGACAGGACCTCACGACACCGCTTGAGGGACACGGTGTCTGTCGAAATACCACCGCGAAAACGGCGGTTTCCACTTCCGAGTCTCGACTTACACGATGCCCGACTGTGAGTTGCGGCGCAATGAGTCCCATCATGTCACTTGCGTCGCCATGGCAAACTCTCCTTAACCTCCTAGTTCTGATCCACGCCCTCTTCGTCACGCCCTCGCAAGCCTACGCCGAGCTCTCCGACACCGCCCTCCGAAAGGTGCCCAGTGGTGCCGAAGCTCTGCACCCACACACGGGCTCCCTTCTCGCGCCGATCCTGATCCCACGCGTCCCGGGGACGCCTGGGTCGTCCGCGGTGCAGCGGCACATCGCCGAGTTCTTCGCGCAAGAGCTGCCGCAATGGCGTTTTGAACGGCAGAACTCGACGTCGCGCACCCCCGTGACGGGGTCGACAGACATTCCCTTTACAAATCTCATTTTCACGCGCGATCCGCCATGGACGAAAGGGGACGGAGACGTCGGCCGGCTCGCCCTCGTCGCGCACCACGACTCCCTGCCTAAGCTGGAGGGATTCGTCGGCGCGACTGATAGCGCGGCGCCGTGCGCCATTCTGATGCAGGTTGCGCGGGGCATCGATGCCGCGTTGACGGAGAAGTGGGCGGCTATGGAGGAGTCTGGCGACCTGGGACTCGGCCTCGGAGATGACGAGAAAGGCGTCCAAATCCTCTTTCTGGACGGGGAGGAGGCGTGGGAGACGTGGTCGGACGCGGATTCGTTATACGGTGCTCGGTATGTGTGCAGATATCACGAAGTGACATGCGTGCATCCTCAGCTGCGCGGATGAGAACAAGGACTGATACGGCTCCTAGATCACTCGCCGAGAAGTGGGAGGCAGAAACGCACCCCACGCAATCGGCGTACCAGACACCGCTGGAAGCCATCGACCTCTTTGTCCTACTAGATTTACTAGGAGCAGCGGACCCGAACATACAGTCGTACTTCTCGTCGACGCACGGGGCGTACCAAGGCATGGCCAAGATCGAGTCGCGGATGCGGGAGCTGGGCCTCCTGGCCACAAATCCTGAGCACTCGTTCTTGCCCGAAAGTGGAAAGACCGCTGATAAGTTCATGTACAACGGCTACATCGCGGACGATCACGTGCCGTTCATGAAGCGGGGCGTGCCGATACTGCATGTCATCCCCATGCCGTTCCCGCCGACGTGGCACACGATGGAGGACGATGCGGAACACCTCGATCTGGATAGTATTGGTGATTGGGCCAAGATCATGACGGCGTTTGCTGCGGAGTGGCTGGAGTTGGATGAGTTTATGGGCCAGGTTGTTCATGATGGAGACGAGGATCGGCAGATTAGAGATAGGTCCGAGCTGTGAGGTGCGGGCAACTCACACGCCTAATAAAGGGAATCTGTACGCAGTGGGAAGTCATACTAGTATACTGTGATTGATCTGGCATGGTTCTCGAGATCTTTGTGGAGATATGTAACAGACCTCAGCCCTCTTCGACACCGAAAAGCGAACATCGAATGAACTATGGTTCTTTAGAAATTCTTAGTGAAACATTGGTATATCGAACAGATAGCTTGGTGTTGTACTTTGCGCAATGAGCTGATGGGAAGTACACACTCTCAATCACTTGTCTGAAAGCCACTTCAAATCACTATACTGATATGTCGCAGAGTGCTATAGAGCCAGTTTGAATCCTCTAAGGGTGGTCTATCTATCTACCTGTTAAGATATGTATCATACTGGATTTTGTTTCAACTCAAGGTCATTTCCAACTCCAGATCAATTTATGATTGGTACGCATACTAGTTACAGTAGTGCTCAGACCTTTTACTACCTTAGGGAAAACCTACCTCTCTCATGAATTGGATCAAAAATCCAGAACAAGACTTTAATTACAATGCAAGGACGTTTGTCATTGCTATATATATCAGTTTTATAAGACTGAAAAGATGGGTTGTGTTGTTGGTCTTCATTACATAAGCGCAGAAAGCAGTAGCGTTGGACGTGGTGCAAGGTGGCGCTAGGCAAGAGCATGGCAAGCGCCAAGCCAGCGACAGGGACCTCGTGTGGGTACCTTAGCTCAGGGTCTCCACACTTCCTGCGGCCTGGTGAATGGGTGGAAACAGGTGTTCAATTGACGACCCGCGTAACTCGTAGTTGCGTACAACATCTCCAAACCGCCATTACCACATCTCGCCTCCTCGACTTGTGCAATCGATCGGCCTCGATGCACTGAGCCTCATCGACAGACTCCCAGATCCCTAGATCATCCGACAACCATGCGATTCCTCCACTCCTTCGTCACGCCCCTGGTGCTCCTGGCTGCCGGCGCAGCGCAGGCCGCCTCGTCCTGGAGCTTCGACGATGCGACTGTCCAGGTGAATGCCAAGAAGGCGCCCGGCACCAAAGAGAAGTACGTTGCTATCTCAGGCGCAGCTAGAGAATGGAAGAACAAGGCTTCGCGAGGGGTTGCAGACCTTCAACAACGGAGCTGGCGGCTGACGGTGAAACGTACACAGGTTCTCCGAGACAACGCCGCTATCGCAGCCCGTCACCCTCACCAACACCGAGAGCATCAAGGTCCTGCTGTCGGCCAAGGACAGTGGCAAGGGCAAGCGGCCGCACCAGGCCTTCGTCGTCCTGCACGATGAGCAGACCGGCCTCGAAGCGCCTTTCCCCATGATTGTCAAGGAGAACGGCAAGGCCGTCGTCGACATCGTATGTCGCCACTATCTACACTTGCCTTGCATTGCCCGGCTATCTACCTGCCTTGCTCTACGACACAACGTCTGCAGCACCCAGCTAACGAACCTTTTCTCATCCTACAGAAATTCACCGACCTCCCCCTCCAACTGGCGACCTCGACCGCGCCTCTCAAGGCATCCGTGGTGCTGGCCTCCTTCGGATCCTCCGCCGGCCTGAACAAGCCTGTCTTCTCCGTGTCAATCAGCAACGACCCCAACGCCGCCCCGCTCGTCTACGAGAAACCGCTGCGCTACGGGAAGCGCGAGGCTATCAGCCACGTTTTCCGCGCCGACCCCAAGAACCCGCCCAAGGTCATCTCCGCCTTCTTCGCCCTCGCGGTCCTGGCTACCGTGCCGGCTCTGGGTCTCGGCGTACGTTTTTCTTTTTCTTTCCTCTTCTTTTCTTATGTGCTGTGCTACCTTCGCACCTTTCCTCAACGAAGGACTTTCGGGATATTTTTCGCTTTGCTGTCACACTGAAACCTAACTGAACCGGGCTGGCTGACAATCGGATGTGACAAAAAACAGTGGCTCGCCCTCGGCGCCAACGTCAACCACCTGCAGCGCGCCCTCCGCGACGCGCCCGTCGCCCACGGTGTCTTCTTCGGCTCCCTCGTCGCCCTGGAGGGCGTCTTCTACCTGTACTACGCCAGCTGGAACCTGTTCCAGCTCCTGCCTGCCGTCGGCATCTTCGGCACCGCCACCTTCCTCAGCGGCGCCAAGGCCCTTGGTGAGGTGCGCGGCCGCAGACTTGCGGGTGAGAGATAATTGCGCGTATCGATTCCAGCCATTGTCTTAATTTGAAAAAGAGGTGTGAGGATTGCATGAATGACGTAGAGGGGAAATGAGGCAAGACGTAAAGAGAATCAGTCCTTGCCTAGCTAACTTTTGGGTTGAGTTGAGCTTTTTCTGGCGGGCTGCTACGGAACTGGTTCGCAGATATCCATATGCATGAGATGTGCGGATAGACTACCTAGATGATATCTACCTACTATGCACATGAACAAGAAGAACAAAAACAAAAGCCATGATCAATATCTCTCTTGTTTTATTGATGACTGTTTTCATGAATGGAGAAAATGCCTAATGTGTCTCGATGGGTCGTATCCATATGAGCGTTCAATTTGTCACTACCCAATCGAGTTGATATCTTTACCCACTCAATGCATAAGTGAGAAAAGTTAGGTAATACCACATAAGATAATTAGATACCTGGGAGGCAAAGGGAAAATGGGGAAGAGAGGGTATCAGTCATCCATCTCGCCTCATCTCACCTCATCTGGAGTTTGGATGCCTGCTGACCGTAATCCCATCTCACACCACTGAGTTTCATACATGCTCGCTGGCCGATTTGTCGACGTACCAACTTATCTATCACTTGCATGCCTACCTACTATCTACCTAGGTATCCATCCACGCGGATCGCTAAGTTCTACCACCCGGCCGACCAACAATGAGTTAAGTAGGTAAGTAAGTATCGAGGTGCGGAGCCTTGAAGAGGTGAGGTGATTCATTCATACGCGCTTTTCGAAAATCTGCAATGGCTGCCCGGATCAACCAATACAATACATCAGTTCGGTACGTATCTATATCAGTAGGTGCTGATCTCACTTCAGGCCAATATCAAACAGGACACACAACACACTCACATCTTGGAAACTTTCGCATTTGTTGTTATCTTCGTCAAGTATAATGCCCACTGGAGAAACCGATCGCATAAGCACCAACCAGGCAGCGAGTGAATCACCGCGCCAGACGCCGCAGTCGTATTGTTTGTTTATCCTCCGCTATGCTGTGTATTATCATCATGCCTCTATTATCTGCACCAACCAACCTAGTCAGACCCTATCCCCGCTCTATGCATGGCCCTCCCCCCCCTTCCTTTTTTCCCTCTCTTTCGTGCTTCCTCACGTGAATTTCTATCTGGCGTTAGGCTTGCCTGCCTGCAAAGCCAGCCGCATGTTTTGCGCGCTTGTGCTGTGCCGTGTGGGTGGGATGTGACC